CAGAAACACACACACACACAGACACACACGCACGCACGCAAGCACGCACACAGACGCACACACACACACACACACACGAGGACATGTGGTGTCAACAACAGTTTACATACTAAGAGGTGATTGGAAAGGTTTTCGCACATGCAATAAGCGTGAAACTCACGCAAACAAAGGGAGAACATGCAAACTGCACACAGAAATGCTAACTGACCCAACCAGGATTTAAACCAGCAACCTTCTCGCTAACAATAAAGTAACAATAAAGTAACCAGTAACCACAACCAGAAAGTAACAATAACACTATTTTGTTTCATTTTCGTCAAATTTTCCAGCAGCTTTACCAGCACAAATCCTCTTTGTGTTAAAAACAAACTGGTGTTATGCTGCCGCATAAAAGTCAAATATTTTTATATAAATGATTTGCTAATCTTGATGGTCAATAGCTTTCCTTCCCTTCACCCAGCCCACACAGTCATCTGTGTGTATTTTTGCAGAAAGAGGATCGATGTTTCTTTATCACTCATTTGTTGACATGCACCCTCTACTCCAATTGCATTATAATATAGTTCATCCATTGGGTAATCAAAATATTTTATATAAAATAATATCTGCTGATTGGTCAGCTGTTAGTACAGTAAAGTCATGTTTATTTTCACAATATATTCATAAACAATTAAATAATAATAATGGGATTAGACTGAAAATGATTACGGATATAACAAGTACATACTGTACTGTATCAACTGTCTTCTCTTCATTATTAAGGTTAAATGCTGATGGCCTGTGACCATTTATTGACTGCTGATTTGAGGGCTTTCTTAGAGGTTACTAATTTGTTTTCTTTCTAGAGTTAAATTAAAAAGTAAACAGACTAAAGGTTGTTTTAATGATCAAACATGCTGTATGGGCACAGGCTTTGGAACTCATTCTAGTTTGAGAAAAGAGGAACAACAGCTGTCTGAAGAGGTAGGACATTTCTGTGTTTGAGATCTGAATCATTGAATAATTGTTTTGTTTGATAAATAAATGTAAATCTGATCTTTTAGAAGAACATTAGAAGACAGAAAATACAGCAGCATGATTAAATGTTTAGGGATGTCCCGATCCGATATTGATATCGAAAGCAGGTCCGATATCAGCCCCCCAAAAATATATCGGACTGCGTTAAAATCTCCGATATAAGCAGTCCGATCCGCTCTAAACTCCGATACAGCTTTTCTATCCAGCAGCGTCCAGAGCCAGCATGCAAAGCCCACGGGATCACAACACTGCTTGCTAGCAAAGTAGCAAAAGAAAGAGATGTCGGCCGTGTGGCAGTATTTTTCATAAAAGTCCGAAAAAGACAGTGTGGCTCAATGCAACAGTTGTCATGCACAAGTTTCCAGTGGTGGAACAAAACTGGGAAAGTTCAATACGTCGAACCTCATCAAGCATTTGAAGTAGCATCACAAAACTCAGCATGAGGATTTTTGCAAGACCATAGAGTTAAAAAAAAAAAAAAAAAAAAAAAAAAAAAAAAAAAAACGATCCTCTGGCAACTTCAAGCAACCAACGCTGACTGAAACCCTTGCAAAGTGTGACAAATTCCTAAGAGATAGCAAAACGGCATTAACCTTAACAGAAAAGATATGCCAGTTTATTGTGCTTGATGATCAGCCATTGTTGGTGGTGATCAGTGTTGTGCAAGTTACTTCCAAACTGTAATACATTACAGATTACTTATTACTGTTATTTAAATGTAATCCCTTACCTTACAATATTACTGTCTCAGAATTGTAATATGTTACATTTCTCTTATATTACTTTTTAGTTACTTTCATCAAAATAACTACAGAATTACACCTTAACATTATAAAATTCTATGTTGTTCTATAATGAGCATTTTACATCCAGTAGAAAGTGATTTGATGTAGCAGAATGACTGTGACCTCCAGGCTACTAACAATATAGTATATAATTGGCAATGTGATGGCTCAAGACAATGCAAGAAAGGATGACAGCCAGAATCACAAATTATCTGTTAAAAGTATGGTAGAGGTAAAGTGATTACCTGGCAATATCTGTGAATGGCTTGGCTATATTCATATTAGGCACAACAGGCCGATATGTAAACTCCAATGCCATGACAAGATGCAGATTTTGTTTCTTTTCTTATTGTTGCCATTATTGTATTTACTTTACATTCAGTGGTTTACAACACAAAACCGTCATGCACAAAGTGAGCATGATGAACAGCTTTCTCAGTATAAAGTTTGTGCACCGATTTCCTGTTTGTGGACAAAACTGCTTGCGAGCTCTCACATACGCTGCTCGCGCACAAATTCTCACAATCTCTCAAATATGCACAGCTCACGCACAATTTTTTTTGCATGCTCTCAGTAAACTGCTCTCTCAGTGAGATTATATGCAAACTTACAATTTGTGTCTTGTGTTCCCTCTTCCTTTCGAGCTTTTTGATATGATTTATATTGGTACACTATTTATTAACAATAACCAAAATACAAAAATAGACCTATAATTTTTAATCTAATAAACCATAACATTTTTGGCTGTATGTTATATGATGAGATATTTCCAGTTTTAAACACCCTTTAAACACAAAACATTTATTAAACATCCAAAAGGTGCACCATACTAATCAAATAAAAAACATTTAGACAAAAATAAAAACTAACGCAAGCAGAAATGTAACTAATAGAAACATTTGATAAGGTATTATAGCCTACTATACAATTCACTCTTCAATTAAATCTCATTATCAATCACATTTTTTTTATGGCAACTAAAATAAAGTGAACTAGTGTCTGTTGTCTTCCACATTGTTGATGAGATTGTTGAGGACATTTTTCCTGCCATCATCTTCATTTTGAGAAGAAGCTGTTCCACAGGGCCCCTGAACACACTTTGTCATTAAGTACTTAATTTACTCTGTTGTGGTAATACTATAGTTGCTATGGTAACACAGCAAGTAAATATAAACAACTGATCCAGTGCTGTAGTTTTTTTACAATATTGGGTATATGGTACAATTCACCACATTTTACTGTAGTAAAACTAAACTTTATATTTCATTTTGTGAGTTCACTATTCTTAATACGACAGTATGCTTAAGCATTCATTGTAAATGCTAGCCTAAAACATAGGCAGTATACCTTACTCTCAAAAACACTAGTATTTATTATAGAATTTATCCTAACCTGTAAGTAAATAGTGTAGCAATATATAAACCATATAAACATTATTGGGATAACAATTAAATAGGAGGATCTCTGAAGAGCAACAGCACAAAAGGAAGAGGAAACACAAGGCTCAGATTGTGAGTCTGCATCATCTGATGGAGTGAGAGCAGGTCGTTAGCACGTGAGCAGCCCAGACGTGTTGAGTGAACGCGAGCAGTTTTGTCCACAGAGGAAACCGGCACGTTCACTCGCTCGTATTACATGAATGAGCTTACGACATTTGTCAGTGAAATAACGCCATATGCACTTACGTCCATCTCGCAAATGCTCTGTCTTCTGCTATTTTCATCTATTTGCCGCTTTCCGCTGTGCGTACTGCGAACCGGGCTGAGCCAAATAGCCCCGGACCTTGAGCTCAGAAGCTGAAATCATTCCGCGTTCAAAGTAAAAAGGTCCCATAGCCAGAGGGAGATTAATGACAGCACGTGCATATATTCTCTAGCCACGAACAGGAAATAAAACTGCGGTTTTTTAATTTGTTAATGTCTTGCAGGCGAAAAGTTTGTTGTAACGCACGCGTTACTGAACATGTACCGAGTAAAATATTACTGAAAATGTATTAGTAATGCCTTACACTACTGCGTTACAGGAAAATACATTTCAGTAAAATACATTTTCAGTAATACATTACTGTAATACATTACTTTTGTAACGCATTACTCCCAACACTGGTGGTGATTAATACCGGGTTTAAATGCTTAATTGAACACCTCGAGCCTCGCTACGTTATGCCTAGCCGCCACTACATTGTCGACAAAATCATACCCCAGATGCATAAAGACGTTAAAGAGTTTATTGCTATGCATCTGGATAAAACAACTGCTGTTAGCTTCACCACAGACATCTGGAGCTCAGAAAACTGTCCACTATCTTTATCGAGTCTGACTGCACACTGGATAGACGCTGACTTTACTTTGCAGACTATATGACTATATTTTGCACACCTAAGCGTCTCCAGCAGGATGTCCAAACACGATGGAACAGTACCAAGCACATGATTGACAGCCTTATTCATCAAAAACGGCCACTGCAGGCCTACTCGTCTGAAGAAAACAGCTTGCTGCCAGCTATTCTAACCGCGAACCAGTGGGCTCTATTGGAGAAGTCCTCAAAGGTTTTGGTCCCCTTTGAAGAGCTAACAGATACCGTCAATGCCACCTCCGCCACCACAGCTGATGTCATCCCCTCAGTCCATGTACTGGTACAGTTTCTCAGTAAAGATGAGCAAGTGAAGATGAGCAGGGGGCGCAAACCATGAAAGCCACTCTTCTGGATGCAGTCCACAGTCGTTTCAAGGATGTGGAATCTGAGCCCCTCTACGCTGTAGAAACACTGCTGGATCCACGGTATAAGAGAAATTATTCTAAAATTTTACATTTATTTACACAATTTGATCTGAGAAAAAAAACTGATATCAAACACATTACATAAATCATACATTCATACCTAAATTTATGCATACCTTTGATCAATCTCAACCAAAAGAAACAAGGAAATGTGATTTAAAAAAATAATTTTTAAAAGATGCTCCAAGCTCAGATTGCTATTGCTATCATATATTGCTATTGTTTATGACTATTGGACTGATGAAGAAATTGTAATGAACAAAAATGACACCCATAGTGATATGAAAGGATTAATCTGAATACACAATCGTTTACATTATTATAACTTTTTTTACTGTTTCTTTTTGCAAGCACAAATGTGTTTAGACTGGGTGTGTAAATCAGTAAAATGTGACATTTTATATTTACACCAGGTACTTCACAAATGTGGAAACCCTTCAACATGCAAAGGTTACATCAAAGGCTGCACTAACAGCAGCTTCTCAGTGGCATTGGCTACAGTAGTGCAATCTTCAGCACTGAGGAAATGCACCAGCTGTTTCACAGTCTCCTGGAAGACATCGGCAATAGGACAGGAGAGGACATCGATATCGGCACTGCTCTTTATGCAAGCGACCGATTTAAGCCTCATTCTAAGTTTCTGGAGGACATGAAGGAGTTTTACCACTCGGATGGCTTCACTGTAGATTTTAGGGTCAAAGAAACAGTCGATCAAATTAATAAATATGTGGAGGAAAAAACACATGGAAAAATCAATCAAGCTGTCGATGATCTGGAAGAGGATACTTTGATGTTACTTCTCACATACATATATTTTAAAGGTACTGTAAGTGAACAAATATACAAAATAGTCAAAGTATTGGAGCTCTGAAAATGGCATTAGATCTTAAATAATTTCACTCTTTCTTCTGAAGCAAAATGAGACAAGCCTTTTAACCCAGAAACAACCAGCGAGAGTACATTTCATATAGATGATAAGACCACCGTTCCAGTGCAAATGCTGCATCAGTATGAACGTCTCAAAGTCTATTATGATGCTGAACTGTCCACTAAAGTCCTCTGTCTTGACTACAACGACTCCTTCTGCATGTTTCTTTCTGTCCCAGATGTTCACATGGGGCGAAAAACCATCAAAGATCTAGAGATGACAATCTCTAGACAGCACATTGAAAATTGGAGAAGAGATGTATTTGAACAGTTAGTTGTCTACATCTAAAATAAATCTAAAGTAGCACCCTAATTGTTTCATTAAAGTGTTTTAAGTTAAGTGCATTCATCACAGTGACTTATTTTTTGGTCATGCAGTGAAGTTGACATCTACGTCCCCAAGCTTTCTCTGAAAACATCATACTCTCTGAAGGATATTTTGAAGGGAATGGGAATGGCTGATATGTTTTCAGATAAAGCTGATTTTACAGGAGTTTCAGAGGAAAGGATCTTCGTTTCACAGAAAAAGTCTCAATCCATCTCTATTCCAGCTTAATAAACTACTAATCAACTGTTTATTAATAGTTAATAAAAGCTGTGTTTAGATTTGAGTGGGATTAAGAATGCAGAATATGACTATACTTTATAAATAATGAACAGTTTATGTCTTAATAATAGGTAATAAGCCAGAATCATGCCCTACTGTAACTAAAGTGTTACGGAAATATGAGTTGCATTTGTATTCAATATATTCACTGAATCTAATCAAGTTAAGAATTTGGTCAAATCAAAATGATACTCTGTGAATCAGAATTGAATCCATTCAGGCAGCAACTTTTGTAGTTTTTGAAGTTTTGGGGACAGGTATTGTTTTGACAATATTACATAAAACTTTGGAAAGACAAAGAAACCCTTTTATTTTGAAGCAATTGACATTTAAATATAACCTAAATCATAATTTAAATATACAATTAAAAGACTTTAAGAGGAGTCAGTTTGATTCACTTTTAGGTTTTGCATAAAGCCACTCTGGATATCGATGAGAAAGGAACCACCGCAGCAGCAGTGAAAGGAGTTGAAACCACACTACATTCCTACAGCCCATTGAGCAAGTTTTTACGCAGCGGATGCCCTTCCAGCCACAACCTATCTCTGGGAAACATCCACACACACACTCATACACTTCGGACAATTTAGCCTACCAAATTCACCTGTACCGCTAGTCTTTGGACTGTGGGGGAAACTGGAGCACCCGGAGGAAACCCACGTGAACGCAGGGAGAACATGCAAACTCCACACAGAAATGCCAACTGAGCCGAGGCTCGAACCAGCGACCTTCTTGCTGTGAGGCGACAGCACTACCTACTGCGCCACTACTTCGCCTAAAGAGGTTTAATGTGTATTAATTAGATTATAATCCTTACCATTTTGTGAGAGAGTGCATATTCTGTGCTTTTTAATGGTTGCATTTTAAATTTCTGTTGTTTTTCGTCTGGTGCAAATAGTCAAATTGCTCATCACTGCAAATCTCTTCACGTAGCATGTTGTTGGAACACGGGGTTACAATGTAACCTGCTCACCTGATGTTTGCAATCATAATATTTATATTATTTTCAAATTAATATCCCCCTCATCTGAAACTCTGAATCAGTGTCTCATTTCGGAGTCTGCTACTGTCCACCGGAGGTTGCATTTCGCATCTGCTCATTCATTTATTTGAGCTTCTGGAGTCGTTTATGCTTCCTATACTAAATTGGTAATACTTTTTAGTGGAACAAACCAGTTTGATTCACATGCGCTCTCATGCTGTGTTCACGACGCTAATAGATTTCCTGCGATGCGTTACGTGTGAATGAGGTGGCGCGAGTTGAGCATTTTGCGCAATTGATGCGCAAATCGTTCAAGTTGGAAAATCTGAACTACAGCTGACATTCTTGCCGCGTTAACCAATCATGAGCTTGCTCTTGTAGGGGTGTGATTATGACGTAGCGCCTGCTGTTGGTGTCTCAAGGGGAAATCCTCCTGCCGACACTGGACAACAGTTCATTTAACCGGACTCGGCTCAGTCTGAAGCACCCCTGAGAGTCTCCATTATGCAGGTATAGGTTTTGGAGGAGTTGATGAACCCACAGAGCTGGATGCACCTCAGAATGGATCTAGTGGACTCAGACATGGCTCCAAACGACTTAACACTGTTCTTCAGTCTAACTAAAGCAAATAAACACAGCTATTCTCTCAATAAAATCAATATTGGTCATTTAGCAAGAAAGCTAGAGTTACCAGGCAGGCAGAAGCCCTTTCCATGACCCGCATCCGTTCTGAAGTGAATTGAATTGACCCGCGAATGAAGAGAGTAAACTTAAAATGTTCATGCTTCAATTTCCACGTGAATATCGCAATTTATCTAGTGTGAGCACAGCATAAACCCACCAGTTTGAATAATTTTGAGGAATAATTCAGTAAATTAACTCAATGAATCTGTAAGAGCATTTAATTTAGTTTAACATTTTATCCACTGATTCAGGTAGTATTATTTTCAGGGACATCCATCATAATGATCTGTACATAGGGTGTTCTTTCCTTTTATAGAGTTATTCAGAATTCATTTGTTTGTAATATATTTGCTTTCTAGTATTTAAAAAGCCAGCATGCAACATCATTGTGTTTCCAATGATAGATCCCATTCAAATAATAATTATATAATAAAATGTCAAATGTTTCTTCAAAAGATGTTTGCCTTTTCGGCTGCTGGAAATAAAGGGTTAAAGTTTAACACAACAGTACCACAGTATAGCCAACCTAGTGCTATGTTTGTTTCTGCCATTATTTATTTATTTTTTTGATACAATAACCTTTGCTGCAATGCAGGATTCATTGGCTGTTTGCTATTTAGAGCAGCAAAGACTACTAATGTATGAGCATTTTTCAGACTTTGACAGGGACTTCAGTAATTGTTACAATTCATATGGACCAGTTTCTTTTTTCTCTGGATCATAACATGTAAGTGTAATTAAAATGGTTGCCTCATTTTCTATAATTTGCAAAATATTTATCTAATTGTGTGTTGTAACTTGTAATCTGTTCTCAAGGCTTGTAATTGCTTATCTATTATAGATCAGTGCTTGTACTGTATCTCTCAGGTTAAATCTGTATGGCCTATTTCACATGTTGCATTCAAAATCACGTTGAAAACATGACGGGTGCTTCTTCCTTTACCGATTCAAATGCATTTGTGAGCTCGCGATCCTCTGCCATTTGTCGTTGCTATGGCCACCATCAGCTGTACCTACACATGTGCGGTGCGGTCAATTTTCAAAATGGTTCAACTCTTGCCACTGTGTGAATTAATACTGAATGTGTGTCGTTGTTTTTTCTTGGCGTTAGGTTAAAGGGGTGGTCTACTACAATATTATATTTTAAACTTTAGTTGATGTGTAATGTAGCTGTGTGAACATAAACAACGTCTCTAAAATGTAATAGGCTCAAAGTTCCATACAAAGGGAAACATTGGCTTTTACAGAGTTAGCTTAGGAAACAAAGGTTGGACACTACAAAAAATACATCCGGGTTAATGATGTCATAAACTCTTCAGGTTAAGTGCATACATCATGCACAGTGAAGGGGCGTGGCCAGAGGTGCTGTGATGCTATAGCAGAGAAAGCTAAAATAACCGCTTTCCCTGTGTTCTACATCTCAAGATATGTGAATGTTTCATAATATTTACCTATGCTCATAAACAGCTACAACATCTCAAATGACTAAAAAGATAACTAAAGAAATCTCCACGGTGCTGAGCGAGATCGCTTACTGAACAGCGCATCTTGTAATGTGCCCGAACGTAATGTGAGTGAGGGCCATCGGGGGAGACGGGAGGGGGGACAAGTGTGCTTTGGCCCGGTTCAAGGCAACTGTATATAGTGTAAGTACGCTCTAAACTACAAAAGGTAATCCATTACTTTAAAAAGTTTATCAGAAGATCTTTATTGAGGGTTTCCATCACTAGGAGAGAAGACACTTCAGCAGTTTACCAGTCACATCTGAATAATTATAATTACTTTGCAAATCCAGAAGAGGAAAAAAAGGTTTTACTTTAACACGGATGAAGGCAAGAAGAGTGTTCTGGGCACTCTTGCAGTTTCTTCTACAAATTCCAGAGTTTTATTTGCAGGACACAATTAAGTTCAAGTAAAATCCATCCCTTCATTAGCTAAATGTTTTATGCTTTAAATGGTTTCTGACTTCTGCAAATAATTTGTTCAAATTATAATTAGACAAAACTAGATGGAAACCCACAAGTTTTCTTTCTTTTTTTTTCTTGCAAGTTTTGAAAAGATTTACTTCACACTAGAATGAAAACTTAGATAATCACTCTTTCTGTCTCCAGGAATATGGACCATGTCATTTAACCACAATATTTACTAGCAGGACAGAATCTGCAGACATTGTTTGCTATTTATGTGTGTATTTCACTTCTATGCATGTCTTTGGGCAGTGGGGGAAACCAGAGCACCCAGAGGAAACTCACGCAAACGGGGGGAGAACATGCAAACTGCACACAGAAAAGCCAACTGACCCAACCGGGTCAAACCGGGTTCAAACCAGCAACCTTCTAGCTGTGAGGCGACAGTGCTAACTACTGACACTCATATAAAAAAGTAACAATAAAGTAACCAGTAACCACAACCAGAAAGTAACAATAACACTATTTTGTTTCATTTTCAAGTCAAATTTTCCAACAGCTTTCACCAGCACAATTCCTTTTTGGTGTTAAAACTGGTGTTATTAAGCTGCCACATAAAAGTCAAATATTTTTACATAAATGATTTGCTTATCTTGAAGGTCAATGGCTTTCCTTTCCTTCACCCAGCCCACACAGTCATCTGTGTGTATTTGT